CCTTGAAAACAAAGTGGAGAATCTGCAAGAATCAATTAACAAAGACCTAGAAGAATTAAAGAAAAAACATACAGAGACAAACAACACAATTACTGAAATTAAAAATACTCTAGAAGGAATCAATAGCAGAATATCTGAAGCAGAAGAACGAATCAGTGAGCCGGAAGAGAAAATGGTGGAAATAACTTCTGATAAAGTAAAGTAACTTCTTTATTCTGATAAAGTAAAAAGGATGAAAAAAGGAAAATAGCCCATCAAGTCCCAGAGGCACAAAGAGTCCCAAACAGAATAAACCCAAGGAGAAACACCCAAGACACATACTAATCAAACTAACAAAGACTAACCACAAAGAAAGAATATTAAAAGCAGCAAGGGAGAAGCAACAAGTAATACATAGGGGAAACCCCCTACATTTAACAGCTGATCTTTCAGCAGAAACTCTGCAGGGCAGAAGGGAATGGCAGATATATTTAAGTATTGAAAGGGAAAAATGTACAACCAAGATTACTGAACCTGGCAAAGATCTCATTCAGAATTGATGGAGAAATAAAAAGCTTTTCAGACAAGCAAAAACTAAGAGAATTGTGTACCACCAAACACATATAGATTAAAAGTGAGAGGATGGAAAAATATATTCCATGCAAATGGGAAGCAAAAGAAAGCTGGAGTACCAATCCTCATATCCAACAAAATAGACTGTAAAATAAAGAAGATTATAAGAGATAAGGAAGGACACTACATAATGATCAAGGAATCAGCCCAAGAGGAAGACATAACAATTGTATATATCTAGGCGTCAAGGCTGTATATTGTCACCCTGCTTATTTAACTTATATGCAGAGGACATCATGACAAACGCTGTGCTGGAAGAAGCACAAACCGGAATCAAGACTGCCAGAAGAAATATCAATAACCTCAGACATGCAGATGACACCACCCTTATGGCAGAGAGTGAAGAGGAACTAAAAAGCCTCTTGACGAAAGTGACAGAGAGAGTGAAAAAGTTGACTTAAAGCTCAACATTCACAAAACTAAGGTCATGGCATCTGGTCCCATCACTTCATGGGAGATGGGGAAAACAGTGGAAACAGTGGCTGACTTTATTTTTTGGGGATCCAAAAATCACTGCAGATGGTAGTTGCAGCCATGAAATGAAAAGACACTTACTCTTTGGAAGGAAAGTTATGACCAACCTAGATAGCATATTAAAAAGCATAGACATCACTTTGCCAACAAAGGTCCGTGGGTCAAGGCTATGGTTTTTCCAGTGGTCCTGTATGGATGTGAGAGTTGGACTGTGAAGAAAGCTGAGCACTGAAAAATTGATGCTTTTGAACTGTGGTGTTGAAGACTCTTGAGAGTCCCTTGGACTGCAAGGAGACCAAACCAGTCCATCCTAAAGGAGGTCAGTCCTGGGTGGTCACTGGAAGGACTGATGCTAAAGCTGAAACTCCAGTACTTTGGCCACTCATGTGAAGAGTTGACTCATTGGAAAAGACCCTGATGCTGGGAGGGATTGGGGGCAGGAGGAGAAGGGGACGACAGAGGATGAGATGGCTGGATGGCATCAGTGACTCGATGGGCATGAGTTTGAGTAAACTCCAGGAGCTGGTGATGGACAGGGAGGCCTGGCATGCTGCAATTCATGGGGTCACAAAGAGTTGGACACGACTGAGTGACTGAACTGAACTGAACAGAACTGAATGCCTATCCTTCTAAAACTGTTTCAAAAAATTGCAGAAGGAACACTTCCAAATTCATTCTACAAGGCCACCATCACCCTGATACAAAAACCAGACAAAAGAAAACACAAAAAAGGAAAACTATAGGCCAATATCACTGATGAACATAGATGCAAAAATCCTTAACAAAATTCTAGCAAACAGAATCCAACAACATATTAAAAAAATCATACACCATGACCAAGTGGGCTTTATCCCAGGAATGCAAGGATTCTTTAATATCCGCAANCCTAAAGAGATGAACTGTACACAGAAAATTATGGCACTAATGAAAGAAGTCAAAGATGACATAAACAGATGGAGAGATATCCCAAGTTCCTGGGTAGGAAGAATCAATATTGTGAAAATGACTATACTACCAAACAAAATCTACAGATTTAATGTGATCCTTATCAAATTACCAAAGGCATTTTTCACAGAACTACAACAAAAAATTTCACAATTCATATGGAAACACAAAAGACCCTGAATAGCCAAAGCAGTCTTGAGAAAGAAGAATGGAGCTGGAGGCATCAACTTTCCTGACTTCAGATTATACTACAAACCTACAGTCATCAAGACAGTATGGTACTGGCACAAAAACAGAAATACAGACCAATGGAACAAGATAGAAAGCCCAGAGATAAGCCTATGCACTGACCAATGCGTACCTTATTTTTGACAAAGGAGGCAAGAATATACAATGGTACAAAGACAGTCTCTTCAATAAATGGTGCTAGGAAAACTGGACAGCTGCATGTAAAAGAAGGAAATTAGAACACTTCCTAATGCCACACACAAAGATAAACTCAAAATGGATGAAAGACATAAATGTAAGACCAGAAACTATAAAACTGTTAGAGGAAAACATAGGCAAAACACTCAATGACATTAATCAAAGCAAGATCTTCTATGACCAACCTCCTAGAGTAATGGAAATGAAAACAAAAGTAAAGAGTGGGACCTGATTAAAGTTAAAAGCTTTTGCACAGCAAAGGAAACTACAAGCAAGGTGAAAAGACAACCCTCAGAATAGGAGAAAATAATAGCAAATGAAACAACTAACAAAGGATTAATTTCCAAAATATACAAGCTGCTCATACAACTCAATACCAGAAAAACAAACAACCCAATAAAAAAATGGGGAAAAGACCTAAACAGACACTTCTCCAAAGAAGACACACAGATGAGTAACAAACACATGAAAAGATGTCAACATTGGACCTAAACAGACATTTCTCCAAAGAAGACATACAGACGGCTAACAAACACATGAAGAGATGCTTAACATGGCTCATTATTAGAGAAATGCAAATAAAAACTACAACGAGATATCACCTCACACTGGTCAGAATGGCTATCATCATAAAGTCTACAAACAATGAATGCTAGAGAGGGTGTAGAGAAAAGGGAACTCTCTTGGACTATTGGTAGGAATGTAAATTGATACATTTACTATGGAAGATGATATAGAAATTCCTTAAAAAACTAGGAATAAAACCACCATGTGACCCAGAAATCCCACTCCTAGGCATATACCCTGAGGAAATTAAAATTGAAAAAGACAATATGTATCCCATTGTTCACTGCAGTACTATTTATAATAGCTAGAACTTGGAAGCAACCTAAATGTTCATCAACAGATGAACGTATAAAGAAGTCATGGTACATACAGACAATGGAATATTACTCAGCCATAAAAAGCAACACATTTGAGTCAGTTCTAATGAGGTACATGAACTGACAACCTATTATACAGAGTGAAGTAGGTCAGAGAGAGAAAGGTAAATACCATATTCTAATACATATATACGGAATCTAGAAAAATGGTAGTGAAGAATTTATTTACAGGGCAGCAATGGAGAAGCAGACAAAGAGAACAGACTTATGGACATGGGGAGAGGGAGGAGAGGGTGAGATGTATGGAGAGACTACCATGGAAACTTACATCACCATGTGTAAGATAGATAGCCTACAGGAATTTGCTGTGTGGCTCAGGAAACTCAAACAGGGGCTCTGTATCAACCTAGAGGGGTGAGGTGGGGAGGGAGACGGGGAGGGAGGTTCAACAGGGAGGGGACATATGCATACCGATGGCTGATTCATGTTGAGGTTTGACAGAAAACAGCAAAATTCTGGAAAGCAATTATCCTTCAATAAAAAATAAATTAATTAACAATAAATAAATAAATAATAAAAGAAAGCTAGATAAATAAATAGAATTGAACTCAATAACTAATTCAGAAGTCCCAGGACTTAAAACTGTGATGAGAACCAGACTGATTAAATGGCCATCCTCCATCCTCCCCCAGCCCAGGATCACTGATAATACAGTAGCACTTTTCTAACAGTTATGTTACTGATGCTAACTTCCTCATTAGCATTTTGAAGAACACTTTCACAAGTTCTTAAAAGAGAAGGACTTGATATCTATCCTTAAAGCTAAGGACCAGACCTAACCCATGGCAAGAAGTAGGTGCTCAGTTCTTATGAAATTAGTAAAGCAGCACTTTTTAAAAATATGTTACATAAAAATTATGTTGGCCACAACACAGAATCTGTCTTTAAAATTCACTTCATCTTATTAATTCACAGAAATATGAACCTTCATTGCAAGTTTTAAAGGGGGAAAAAGTTGAAGAAAACTTAAACTCGCCTCTATTTTTTAACAACAGTCAATGAGATAATTTTATACTTGGACACAAACATTATAAGAAGTTTTTCTAAGGCATGCTAGCTAAAATAGATGCTACGGAATTTGTTTTTACAACTCCACATAAAGTGCACCTATTTTTAGCCTGTATTTCAAGGGCATTATATATTTTCCAAATGTGATGCTTCATTCCTATTATGCTCATTCTGCCTTACTCTCTTAAATGAAATAAATACATGAGAAGAGCAAGGACTTCCAATGATAAAGTATCAGAACTCATGGTGCCTCTTGATCCAAAATTTCCACTTTCAGAAATTTACTCTGGTAAAATATACATATAGAAATACAAGGTTATATGTAGGGCATTCATTTAAGCATTATTTATACAAAGAAGAAACAGAAAAAATATAAACATCCATGAGTCAATGGTATGGTCACGGTATAGTCATAAAATTGCATCACAAAAGAATGATACAACAAACAGAAAAAATATAAACATCCATGAGTCAATGGTATGGTCACGGTATGGTCATAAAATTGCATCACAAAAGAATGATACAACAATATGTATTGACACAGAATGATCACTAAAGAAACATACTAAACAAAAGCCACCTGGCTCCTAGCAATTACTCTGTACCAGACTCTATCTAAACAGCTGAGGCACAACCATGCAGAGTTCAATCCCATTCCTTTCTTTATGTATAACTAGTAAGTACAAATAAATAGACATGCTATATTCTTAGCAGTGGTTATGTTTGGGTGTAAGAGTGTGGTCTTGAGTGAGTGTGTTGCTAATGGAGAATCATAATTGATTTTATACATGCATACTAAGTTTACATTTTTCACAAAAATTTTAATTATGTGTTTTAAGTTTTAATTTTAAAACAAAACTCACAGAAAACAATGACTAAAACCTGGATCTTCATTCTTGATGACCATTAAGTTTATTTAATTTGTCCAGAGAAATTATATATTGGCAGTTTGTAATTTTTCTTCTTTTCTACAGCATCTGAAACTCAGCAGATGCTCTTCATCATGTCTGTATTCAGATCCCATACGCTAGCTTTTCTGTGTTGTTCACACAACTGTGGTCTGTAGAGAGAGAAGTTCCTCTCATTAGTTAGTCTATCCTCAAGGGCCAACCAAACAGGAACAGCGAAAGCCCAGTGTCTGCTGGCTCCATGCAGAGCTGACAATCACTTTGACTTCTTACGCCAGTAAAATCAGTTTTTCTTCATCCAAGTTTATCATTAAGAAGAAGTTTCACATACATTACTGCATTTATGGTACAGAATTAGGTTGAAGAAAGCNTGAGGTTGAGTAAACTCCGGGAGTTGGTGGTGGACAGGGAGGCCTGGCGTGCTGAGATTCATGAGGTCGCAAAGAGTTGGATACGACTGAGCGACTGAACTGAACTGAACTATATGTAATCATGTATGTGTTTATAACATGTCATGTGGTCCACATATACATATAAAATGTGTTTATGTATGGTAGATGGGTATTATATATAGTAGCTATAGATTAAATATAGACACAACATATTATATAAATAGATATAGAAATAGGTATATATAGAAATAGACAAAAGCCCCAAAAACATAGAACAATAAAAGATTTAGATTTCTTAAATCAAGAAAATATACCAAAATATTACTTTTGGCTACTGAGACTTACATGATCCCTAGTAAATATCTTCCATCATGTTTTTTGGTATCTTCATCCAACATATACATGATTCTATCTACACTTTTTTTGAAATAGACTGATTTCACTGAAACTTTAGTTGTTTGTAATCAAGGCCTATTCACTCACACCCAAGTATAATTTTCCAGGATACAGGCAAAAGAGGCCTGTGTATAATATTAGTATCATCATAATGGATTGTGTTATGCAAACTTAGAGAACTAGAATTAAAAGTAATCAGATATGAATATGCAATGTCATTTTATGTCTCTAAGTCTCACAATACAATCTAAACTGTGTTATTAATATACTTCATGAAAATAATTTTTACAACTGCTCCATTAGACTAAAGAAAAATTCTATACTTTTTCAATCATAAGAATAACAGATTACATATAGCCATTTTACAACATAAACATGAATTGTATACCTTAGATGCCAAATATTGAAAACTCTCCACAAACCAAATATTCCATCTTTAGCATATATTGATTTGCCTTAAATTTATTTTTTAAATGATTCAGTTTGTCTTGAAATGATATGATGTATGCAACCATGACCTAGGATTCCTAGAGGGGGCACATTTTAAGTCCTATATCACAGGAACCCTAGTACATCTTTCTTTAGACTAACAACTACTTTCCAAAATGAATTATTTAAGAATCCTTGATTTTACTTAGTTGAAAGTGAGGGAGGTGAAGGGAGGATTAGATGAAAGTGAAAGAAGGTGACTAGTTTGAAAACACCTGCCAGAGATTCACTGACTCTGATAAAAAATGTTTCAACACTATGGCACTGTGGTTAAAACACACTCTATCCAATGACATGCATGCCTGTCTACCCTGCAGTATCACCTCTGCTATACACCATACAGTGTTCCCCAGCTTCACTCTCAAATACTACTGTTCCCTTTTTTCCATATCTGCTTGCTCAGTAATCCTTTCTAAAAATATGACCCATGCCCAGGTAACTGAATCCTGAGTCTTCCAAGCCTAGCCATTGCTCCAATGAATCTGTCCCTTCCCAATACATACTAACATATTTGTAGGGGTTTTAGTATCCCCCTCTCCTCAAGATCATTTCATTTAGTAAATACCTTGGTCTTCCATGTTACTCAACCTGGGTCAGGCCCCTTCAGTCCACCTTAGTCTACCTCTGTGTGGATAGAGGACACTAGATTCTCAGTTCCTCCTTTGCCTGAAGATCTTGAGCACTCTTGCAAATAGTTGCAAATTCTTCTCAGAAGGCAGAGGCAAATTTTCTATATGTCACACAACAAAGCCCATGTGTAACTTGCAATTTCATTACAAGACAGAGAAATGACATATTTAAAAATGAAAGGGGATTCATTGGCTGTGTAATTGGAAACCCAATAGGGTTGACCTTAATATTGCTTGCCTTAGCAATTTAATGATATCAACAGCTATCACAGTATAACCTGGGGACTTATGGTGGTCCTCAGAACTTTGCATGGGTCTATAAAATCAAAATTGACTTTGTAATAATATTAAAATAATTTTGGCCTTTTTCATTGTCACTGTCTCACCAGTTTACAGAGAAGTTTTCTAGAGGTTACATGACATGATGTGTTACAACAGACCGAATGCTCAAGGAGATGTGAGACTCCAGGCATCTCCAGGTAAGCCAGGCATGAGATTTGCAAAAGTGTAAAATGATGCCACTCTTCTCACTTTTTCTCTTTCAGAGATGCTAATCCTTTAAAAAATTATTTTTATTAAAAGGTTTGCTTATATCACTGAGTCATATTCTAATCCAGGAAAACAGGTATCTCCTGATCCTTCTATAATAACTAATAGGACTCACCAGTGGCTCTATTGTTGGTGTTCAGTTGCTCAATTGTGTCCGACTCTTTGTGAGCTCATGAACTTCAGCATGTCAGGCTTCCCTGTTCTTCACCACCTCCTGGAGTTTCTCATGTCCATTGAGTCAGTGATGCCATCCAACAATCTCATCCTCTGAAGTCCCCGTCTCCTCCTGCCTTCAATCTTTCCCAGCATCAGAGTCTTTTCCAAGGAGTCAGCTCTTCACATCAGGTAGCCAAAGTACTGGAACTTCAACTTCAGTATCAGTCCTTCTGACAAATATTCAGGACTGATTTCTTTTAGGATGGAATGGTTGGATCTCCTTGCTGATCAAGGGACTCTCAAGAGTCTTCTCCAGCACCACGGTTTGAAGGCATTCTTCGAAGCTGAGCCTTTTTTATTGTCCAGGTCTCACATCCATTCAAGACTACTGGAAAAACCATAGTTTTGACTATATGGACTTTTGTCAGCAAAGTAATGTCTCTGCTTTTTAATACACTGTCAAGTTTTTTCATTGCTCTTTCTTTTAAGGAGACAATGTCTTTCAATTTCATGGCTGCAGTCACCGTCCACAGTGATTTTGGAGTCAAAGAAAATAAAGTCTGTCACTGTCTCCATTGTTTCTGCATCTATTTACCATGAAGTAATGGGACCAGATGCCATGATCTTTGTTTTGTGAATGTTGAGTTTTAAGCTAGCTTTTTCACTCTCTTCTTTCTTTGTGACTCTACACAAGACCACAAATTCTCCATGGTGATCTTTAATAGAATTATATGCTTTATTAGATTATAAAATAAATAAATAATTCATTTATTATGTTAATAAGTTTAAAACTATCATGCATGAACTGAGCTATAACCTAAAGAATTCTTGGTATTCATAGAAATCTGGAATAATCAGAAATACTTGCATCCACTGATTAAGTATTGAAATCACTGGAAATCTGGTAAGCTTAATTTCCGCAATTCCAACTACCACCAATGCATGAAATGTTCATCTTCAGCTTATACTTTTCCTTCATGACTTATAATCATAGTTCTCCAAATCCATACAATTCTTCCATCTCAATTAAGTAACAAGTAATATGGAGGTAATCAAAACAATAACTCTCTCGGTCCAGGTTCTCTAGAGAAATAGAATCAATATGATATATCTAGGTATATAAAAATAGATTTACTATGAGGGACTGGCTCACAATATTCCCGAGGCTGAGAAATCCTATGATCTGCTGTCTGCCAGATGAAGGCTTAAAAAACCCAGCAGAGTCCCAGTCCAAGCTTGACAGCCTCAGAATTAGAGTAGCCAATGACGTAAGTCCCAGTGTGAGTCTGGTGGTCCAGGAACCATGAGTCCAAATGTCCAGGGCAGGAGAAGATGAATGTCCCAAACAAGCAGAGACAGCTAATTCACCCTTCTAGTTTTTTGACCCTCAACAGTCCACCCACACTGGTCCACTGATCTTCTTTAATCAGTGGATAGACTGCAATGTTAACTTATTCCAGAAACACATTCAGAAATAATGTTTTACCAGTGATGAGAGCATTCCTTATCCTAACTGACACACAAAATTAACTATCAGAGAAGATGTTATACATTTTATTATTGAAGGTTTCAAAGGAACTTCAAACTGTACTTGCCTAATATACATTCAAATCTGATATTTCTTTTACACTGTATTTTCTGTTATTTTGAACCATCATTTGCCAACAAACTGTGGGAAATTCTTAAAGAGATGGGAATACCAGATCACCTGACCTGCCTCCGGAGAAATATGTATGCAGGTCAAGAAGCAACAGTTAGAACTGGACATGGAACAACAGACTGGTTCCAAATAGGAAAAGGAGTACGTCAAGGCTGTATATTGTCACCCTGCTTATTTAACTTATATGTGGGGTACATCATGTGGAGAAATGCCAGGCTGGATGAAGCACAAGGTGGAATCAAGATTGCCTGAAGAAATATCAGTAACTTCAGATATGCAGATGACACCACCCTTATGGCAGAAAGCAAAGAAGAACTTAAGAGCCTCTTGATGAAAGTGAAAGCGGAGAGTGAAAAAGTTGGCTTAAAGCTCAACATTCAGAAAACTAAGATCATGGCATCTGGTCCCATTATTTTATGGCAAATAGATGGGAAAAGAAAGGTAACAGCAAGAGACTTTATTTGGGGGGCTCCAAAATCACTGCAGATGGTGACTGCAGCCATGAAATTAAAAGACACCTGCTTCTTGGGAGAGAAGCTTTGACCAACCTAGACAGCATATTAAACAGCAGAGACAGTACTTTGCCAACAAAAGTCCATGGTCTAGTCAAAGCTATGGTTTTTCCAGTAGTCATGTATGGATGTGAGAGTTGGACTATAGAGAAAGTTGAGTGCCAAAGAATTGATGCTTTTGAACTGTGGTGTTGGAGAAGACTCTGGAGAGTCCCTTTGACAGTAAAGATCCAACCAGTCTATCCTAAAGGAAATCAGTCCTGAATATTCATTGGAAGGATTGATGCTGAAGCTGAAACTCCAATACTTTGGCCACCTGATTGATGAAACGACTCATTGGGAAAGACCCTGATGCTGGGAAAGATTGAAGGCAGAAGCAGAAGGGTACAACAGAGGATGAGATGGTGGGATGGTACCACTGATGCCATGCACCTGAGTTTAAGTAAGCTCAGGAGTTGGTGATGGACAAGGAAGCCTGGTGTGCTGCAGTCCATCGGGTTGCAAAGAATCAGACAAGACTGAGCGACTGAACTAACTAATATTTTCTGTTATTTTTGAACCATCAACTAACTTGGTACTTAGATTCCTTATTTATTTTCCCAACACCTTCAGCTGTTGAATCGCTGAATCTTGTAGTTTCTCAGACTTAACATTTCTCTAGTATTCTTCTCCTTTCTCTCTATCCCCAGTGCCAGTGGTTTATCTTTTAATTTGCCTTTAATGAGTTTGTCCTGGATTATTAAGAATAAGCACCCCTTTAAGGGAACAAATGTGATTATGTCACTCATCAGCTTAAAAGTTTAATAACTCTCAATTACAGGATAACACACTATGTTCTTAGTATGTCATTCAAAACATTTCTTTATGTAGACCTTACACACTTTTCTACTGTGAATGTCCCTACCTTCCATGCTTCACGACACGTTCCAATCCTCATGCATTTATACATGCACCTCTTTGCTTCGTATGACTGGCAAAGAACTACTTAATATTCTAGACTCGACTCAGAGATCACTTGGTCTTTGAAATAAATCCCTAAAATCTGAGGCAAAATTAAGTACTTTCTTGATAGGTTCCTGTTCATATCTCTACCATAGCACCTCCCTCATTTCTATAATATTTTATTTCTGTTCCTTTGGTTGAATATAATCTTGTGACAGCAGGAATCTTTATTCCTATTTTCTGTCAGTGTCACTGAGTTGTTGCTTAACAAATATTGGCAATAGCGAAGAATATGGTCACAGTAAACATAAAGTTTAACACACCACTTTGGTTCACTTATTTACACCCAGCCACTTCCTTCAAATGGATTTTTTAAAAAGCTTATGAAAACAACACACGTAATAGATCGGAAAGAAAAGTATAAACTAAGACTAATAAAGGAACAGATTGTCAGTCTGAGTGACAAGAGCAAGGCAATGTCAGAGATGAAAAGATAAAGAGGAAGATTCAAGGAAGAGAGATTAAAATGTCAATTTCAGCAGAGTTCAAAGACAATAAAAATGGAGAAAGGTCTTCTAGATGAGATAATTAGGCCATCACTAGTTTCCCTTGACTGAGTACTTATAGTGAAGAAATAGGAGAGAATCTAGATTTCAAGAGATTAACAAGCTGTGGGTACTGAGAAGAATGAGTTGTAAATAAACACACACACACAAATTACTGCTTTCACAAGGGTAAGTCAGTTTTGCTATTATAGATTTATATTTTTATTTTTTTCTCTACTTGCTATAAGAATAAACAAAATGGGCTAGCTCTGGAAAATGTAAAAAAGTTATTCAGCTAATACAGCAGCAGACCACATTTTTGAAACTGTGAAGTTAAGAGCTTAGTAATGAAAGCTAATACCAAATATCCCAAATATGATCACTGAAACTGTCTAAACCATAGACGTTTTCTATCCATAACCAATCAGCAAAATATGGTAACTTGTTGTTCAGTCACTCAGTCGTGTCCGACGCTCTGTGACCCCATGGACTGCAGCACGCCAGGCCTTCTGTTCCTCACCACTTCTCAGAGTTTGCCCAAGTTCACGTCCATGGTTTTATACAGTTTTTAACTAATTCCACCTCCCAAATCTAAATCAGTATCCACTGTCCCCAGAGGCATCAGGAAAGTAGGAAATTGAGGGCAGTACCACCAATGACAGTTTGTAGGACTAATGAGTGATTAAAAAAAAAACAACTAGGATTAGTTTTAAGATGTCAAGAGCAATATCATCTTTGTCATTTAAAAGGTAGCAACTAAAAATAATAAAAACAACAATCTAAAACAAAAAGCAATAATAATACTAATAGGTAAAATTCAATGAGGCTATCTGTCCTAAAAAATAATTAGCATCTATTTTAATCCTGCAACCATATTGCAAGTAGATTCCATTATCCCATTTTAAAGAAAAGTTGCAGAGACTAAGGTCAAAGTTCTCTGTTTTCTAACGTGAATTGATTCTCTGAATTTATCTTATTAAAACAAGAATCTTCAACTATACTGAACACAAATATTTAGAAAATAAGTATTACAATATTCCAACAAATAGCATTTTATACACATATATATGTACAAACACTCATGCACAGACAGATGCTAAACTTTGGTCATCAAT